GAGGGTAATTAGAAAGAATCAAGCTCTGTTACGGAAATGGTTGTGGAGATGGCCTTTGGAAAGAGAGAGATTGTGGCATGAGGTGGTGGGAAGCATTCATGGGAGGTYAGAGAAYGRATGGGATGYTGGTGTATCGAGGCAAGCTAACCTAGCAACACCGTGGAAGGCTATTCACAACACCCTTCCTCAATTCGTCAATTTTATCAGGTATGAAGTTTGTTCTGGAAACTCTGTTCTTTTTTGAGAGGATATTTGGGTAGGAGACTCACCGTTAAAGGACTTGTTCCCTTCGCTTTTTTCTATTTCTTTGTACAAAAAAAAGGTGGTTTCAAAATTTGTTTCACCTTTGGGAACACCCTTAGATCCTACTTGAGATTTTGGGTTTCGTAGAGGACGTAGGGATGCTGAAATTGAGTCTCTTTCTATTTTGCTTGGTTGTCTTAATCAGGTTTGTTTGGATCCCTCCAAGCCAGATAAGAGAGTTTGGACTCCTAGACCCATTGGAACATTCTCTTGTGCTTCTTTCTTCAAGTCCATCTCTCAACTTTCTTTTCACCAACCCTTTCCGTCTAAAGAAATTTGGTGCAGCCAATCCCCCCAAAAATTATGGCTTTTTGTTGGAAAGTATTCAATGGGAAAGTAAACACTTTAGACAACCTATAAAAGAGAAGACATTTTCTCTGTATTTCTCCTAATTGGTGTATCCTCTGTAGAGCTCACGGGGAAGATTGTTACCATTTATTAATATCTTATCCCTTTTTCGTAGACCTTTGGGCTTGGCTACTTTCGTTGTTTGGGGGTAGTTGGAGTCTAYCAGCAGAATTTCACATGCTCTTCAACCATTCTACCTTTTATTGGCCTACAAAAATAGGGAGAATTATGTGGAAATGTGCTCGTGCTACATTGATTTGGACTCTTTGGGATGAAAGGAATCTCAAAATTTTTCAAGACAAGAAAATGAACAACCAAGATTTGAAAGACTATGTGTTAAACAAGACAATACATTGATTGAAGACCTTGGAAATCTTCCATCAATTCCCCTTTAATGACATTTGGAGAAATTAGTCAACAGTAGCAAGGTGCTCATCTTTAAAGGACAAATCAATTACAAGCTGATCTCCTCCACCCGAAGGCTCAATAAAGTTGAACTTTGATGAAAGCAGCATGGGTAATCCATGATTATCCGGAGTGGGGGGTGCTTTGAGAAATGAGAAGGGAGAGATTTTGTTGCTCTACTCAGGTCCCTTGGGAATTGGGATCTCCATTAGGGCAGAACTCTTAGCTGCTGTACAAAGGGTGCAATTTACAAACCAACTGGGGGTACAACACCTAATAATCGAGGGGGATTCCAAAGTAATGGTGGGTTGGTTAAAAAATTCTGAAGAGGCTATGTGGCGATACAAGAATGAAATGAAGAAATTTAGTTGGTTGACAAGAAATATGTTGGTCACTGTACAGTGGGTGAGGAGATCAACATATACTTGGTCAGATGTGTTAGCTAAGCAAGGGGTAAATAGGGAAGAATTATTTTGGGCTCAGTTGTGATTATTGTTTTTCTTTCCTAGTTTACTTGTAAGACTCAAGGAGGGGCTATAGCCCGTGCCTCTCGTTGGGATGATGTATGAACTCACTCTAAAGTTGCTTCTGAATCAATAAACTTAT